TTGGCCGAAACCTACTGCAAACTATTCGAAACACGGGACTGACTGAGAATGTTGGAGACGACACTAGGTGGGGCCCTAGTGGAAAGTCATCAAAACTAGATTATATTCTAACTAGTGACCAGCTACTCGTCGAAAAGGTCCAGATCATGACTCCTCTGGGAAGCAGTGACCATGCAGTCATAGGTTTCGATCTTGTCCTCCGTGAGCGTTTGCAATGGGATGTTACGCGACCATGTCTGTGCTACAGCAAGGCTGACTATGCTGAAATGCGGAGGCTCTTGTCCGACGCAGACTGGCCCTTAGCATGGGACGACCTATCTGTGGATGAACACTGGGAAGTGGTAAAAAAGATTATCCATCAGCAATCTCGGATACCGTCCCTTTAGTCACAACACAGCCTAAGAGAAAGACGTCATGGTTGAAGAGAGGCACGCAACGTATTCTGCAAGCAAAGCGGAGGCTTGGTTTACGTGGCGTGTATCTAAGAGTCAGACCGACCATGATGCATACCTCGAACTCAGGAACCGGTGTAATGCAAGAGTTAGGAGGGACAGAAGGTCATTCCAGGCTAACCTTGCTAAAAAACTCCTATCAAACCCTAAAAACTTGTACCGATTCATGTCGGAAAGAAAACCGACAAACCAAGGGGCATGCGCCTTAGTAGGCCCAAACGGTCAATATCTCACTAGTCTGGAGATGGCTGAAACATTCAGTTCAGCCTTCGCTAAACAGCTAAACAGCAATGTGGATATTACAGTTACGGACCAAAATGGTGGCACCACTATTTCAGAGGAGGAAGACCTAGCGACTACTCCCCAAATAAACCCCGCAATAGTACTAAGGAAGCTACAGCGACTCATACCTGGGAAGTCCCCAGGTTGTGATGACATCAGGCCATCTGTTCTGAAACAGTGCGCCGAGGCTCTCTGTAGACCCCTGTGCGACTTGTTCCAACACTCAATGGATTCGGGGACCCTGCCAAGGGAGTGGAAAAGAGCCATCCTTTCTCCAATCTTCAAGGGTGGGGACAGGCAAAACGCTGCTAGCTATAGACCAGTAGCTCTACTCCCAGTGGTATCAAAAGTACTGGAAAGTATTATTGACGACCACATCAGGGAATATTTCGATAGGACTAATATACTACATGAAGCCCAACATGGTTTCAGAAAAGGCAGATCCTGCGTCACTAACCTACTGTCAGCTTGGGACGACTGGACATCATGCTGGGACTTGAACGTACCAGTCCATGTGGTCTTCCTAGACTTTGAGAAGGCATTTGACACTGTTCACCATGACCTTCTCCTACATAAAATAAGCCAGGCAGGCATAGGTGAGCCACTTCTGTCATGGTTGAAGGACTACCTAGCCGACAGGCAATTTTGCACTAAGGTTAACCGAGTCCGATCATCTTGGCACAGATCGTCATCAGGAGTGTCGCAGGGTTCTATCCTAGGACCACTGATGTTTTTGATTTTCATCAATGATCTACCACGCCGTCTGAGCTGCCCGACTCTCCTGTACGCTGACGACGTAAAAATATGGAGGGCGATAAAGTGTCCGGAGGACTCAGATAGGCTACAGGAAGACCTAAACCTTCTGGAAGACTGGGCGGTGGCCAGTGGCATGACTTTCAACTTGAAAAAGTGCAAAGTAGTGAAGTTGCGCACCTGTAGACTGCAGAATGCAAGTTACACCCTGTGCAATGAAAGCTTGTCCTGCACAACGTCGGAACGCGACTTAGGTCTAGTTCTAACGGAAAAAATGGACACAAGCGTAAATTACACAGGGGATGTAGCGAGGGCATATGCGGTCATACACTTTACGCATAGACAGTTAGGTGCACTCACTCCTGAGCTCTTTCTAATGTTGTACAAAACATACGTCAGGCCACACCTTGAGGTGCATAATATTATTGCACCCCCAATGCTGAGAAGAGATGCCAACCTCTTGGAAAGAGTCCAACGACGGGCAACAAAAGGAGTGGTTGGTCTCCGAAACAAACCATATGATGAAAGGCTGAAGAAATTAGGCCTGTTCACACTTAGTTACCGTCGGCTTAGGGGGGATTTGATTACTGCCTACAAAATAACAAATGACCAGAATCACCCAAACAAAGGTGTTCTGCCATTGAGTAGGTATAGGCTTCCACGTGGAAATCCCAGAAGGATAGCTCACCAGAGGGCAAGGACCCGGGTGCGCTCCCACTTCTTTTCACTGCGGGTTTGTCGTCCCTGGAATTCCTTACCGGCAGATGTAGCTATGGCACCGTCTTTGGACGCCTTTAAGCGAAGGCTGGACAACCATGCAGCGATACAAGGACTGCATCCAAATGGCCTATCTCCTTAAAATCGCATTTACCAATCAGGGTAGATAATTAAACTCGTCATTTTACTTCTTTACATTCTCTCCCGTCTTACTCTCCTGACAACTTATTAATATTATAATTACTATTATTATTACTATTACCGATATATATATTATTCTTCAAACTTAATGAGCTGACTGTTGTTACGTTTCCTATTTTCGTTTCTGTCTCTTAGTCTGAATAGCTTCACTAATTATATCTATTATTACTATTATTATTATTACTATCTCTTTTCTCTTGTCGACAATACCGAAGGACTAACTGGCGAAAGGATCAACTCCAATCACAGTAGTAACAGTCTTAACATACCTCATACTACAAACCACATATAATTAATCCCAGCACTACTCCCTTTGGAGTCAACCAAAGCTACGACAGTCGAGTGGCGGGACAAGCTACGCAGAAGTTTACCGAAGATCAAGAACCTATACCTCACAATCAAGAAGCGAGCACAAAGAAATCAAATTGGTTTATACTAGCTCGTAAAAACGATATTGGATATTGGATCACAATGCGGCAATTGCAATATTCCGCTACGTCTCAAGGTTACGTGTTGTTACACATTTTACGTATGTTTTTTAATTTTTTTCACCTGTTAACCACCTTTTCTGAAAGGGTGAAATATTTGAGGAAAACATAACACTAATTATATTAAATCTCCCCGAGATTAGTTCTACATAACAAATCTTAGGCGAATTATACATTTTGAGCGATTTATACCAAATTTCTTCGTATTCGGCTTGTTTATTAAGTTAGGTTGGCCAGTATACTCGGAGTCCAAGCTGCAAGTTATTTTGGGGATTAACGAGTTGAACTACTGATACCGAGAGCGTACATAATGGTGAAAAATATTTTTCATATATATTAATTTACTGGTATAATGGTCCAAAAATTGGAAAGGAGTAGCATAAAAATATTGGAAAGCAGTAGTTAAACTTAGTTGAAAATCGGGGAATAACGAGATAGTGACGAATATATAAGGTTTATAAGTTGCTAGGTGAATGTGGGAAATTGGAAAGTAGTGGTAAATATGACGGGGGCGAAATGGGATAAAGTTGGAGAAGCTCTGTCATATAATCATTGTTCGACCACTGGCCATGGCCACTTATTACCATTTTTCAACATTTTCCCTCTATTTTGCGTGGTTGGTTAACAGTATACTGTTGCTATAGCTGTAGTTTACCATATCAATGCTGCAAACATCTGTTAACATACAAAACACAAATATTAGCCATCACCTTTAATTTAGGTGGTGTCAATTGCTTCCTACGAACTACAATATTGAATTAGTAGCGGTAGTTTCTACAACACTAGGAATGGTTGTGATATATTCATCCAGATTTACTCGAAATATTTTAAACGAGAAATATTCATTCATTTAACCAATTTGTACCTAGTGAAATAAACTGGCGGAGATAAATGCATGTGTATTCACCTATATAATGTGTAATTTACACGTAACTTTTACAAAGAGATATCAAAATGTTCCCTTTTGTAATGGAATGTTGTCTGATACAATATCATAGGTCTCATCTTTTAAGTCATGCTATCATCTGTCATGCATAGTTTGTGTAACAATTTTCAGATATGGGTATGTCAGGTTAAACTACTATGTACGAATGCAAGCCTGTATGTTGATGATGACTTAGCTATAGTCAATACTCGTAACGCAATGTGCTCTCAAGTTATTGAAAAGAGAGTTAGTATATTATAGGCACCAAAAAGCGCATCACATAAAGTCCCATAGTTTGTGCGACAGCTAAAATACTGCCCACATTGAAGCAGGTGAGGGTCTGAAGAAGCCATCCTCCTATCCCATAATTTCCTGGCTGATCCACGAAGCAGTGCATCAACGTCAGAAGCTATGTTATAATGATTGCCGTGACCAGAACAAGTGCACCAGATATTCAATCCATTTGGATTCTGGAGTCCAAGCATACTGTCGGTTTGAAAATAGGATTTTCCAGCTCTCCTGGTTAAACCATCAATCAGGTTTTAAGTGTCAGACTTTAATAATAGTTCTTTCATTTCGCGAGACACTCCTGTCGCGTGAAATTAATGAACAAGACTTAATCGGCACAGGCTATGAGCGCTTGGCTACACGAAAGCATTTTGAGAGGTAGACTGAAATCTACCCATCCTCGGCAAGTGTAGATTTTTTCCGTGAGATGTAAACCTTTTTCGAGTTTGATCACGGATTGATATCAGTTAGAGAACTTAGCGGGCTATTTTGTTTCGGTTTGGAACTCATTAGCAGTACGCACCCATTGGTTTTCGAACCTAGGACGTTCCGGTTACAATGCAAGGTTGTATACCATTCAACCAGTCACTGGGACCCGATTCAATGACCAGTCCATGAAATCTAACTTCTACTAATTCGTGAATTTTAGCACCGCCACCAACCACTGCCATCGGTGGGAATTCTATCCTCACTCGTGATCTCACAGTAGGATGAAACAGCTGTCCAGTACTCCCTGGTTTACAGTGGTTCTCTAACTGATTTCAATCCTTGGTCAGACTCGAAGAACAAATCGACTCTTAAACATTTAAAATTCTTGCAGTCCATTATTATTAGTATTATTATTATTACAGTTACTTCGATTGGCAAGAAAAAAGTTAACAAATTTCGCTATGCATGGATAATAAGTTAGTGAATCACACTTCTTATAAACTAATTTATGCACATATGCTTATATAGATTCCAGAATGAATTAGATTTACTACATGAAATGTTTCCAGGTGAATTTGATATCACCAATAAGTAAGTTGTATTTTAAAATTTTTATCTCTTTCAAAGCATAGACCACCATATAGTCAATTTTGTAATAACACCTGGCATAGGATTTAATAAGACAATGAATAAATTTATACAATTCAATTTAAAAGTGGTATTCACTTCAAAGGTTTGTTTAAATTATGCATTTTTATCACTGTTATTATTATTATCATATAGTATCCAGTAGAATCACCAATAGTCAGCATAGAATGTGTTCATGGTTTAAAGGAAAAGGATACAGGGAAATTGTTGTCTCTTTTAAAAGAATTAATTATGGAAAGAAAAGGTGATCCAGTACTTTTTGATCTTGTGGATGTACGTAAGTTCAGTGTGTGGGTGTATACATATATATATCATTGGATATACTTCCTTGTAATTTCATAAGTTGATCGATTAGTTGTTGACATTTGAGTACTACTTTGTTTATCAGACATATCACACACACACACACACTCAGTGGAACACTATTATTTAATGGATGACAATGTTAGCGGATATAGGGTCAGGCTGGAAAAAAGCTAGCGGCAGTCAATGAAATCCACAACAGTTGGTCTAAGCCACGTAGGAAGGTGTAGACTTCCAGGCTGGGGTCCTCGGACGGTAAAAATCTATGGTTGGAAACAATTGGTGACATGGCTCAAAATCGTTCTCAGTGGCACAGATGCATCCACTCCTTGTGACTTATGATCTCCAATGAAACTGTTTTGTTTTTCTTTATTACTCCTTTGTCTCACACCTCTGCTCACTGTTTCTATTATGCTTTCTTGTACTTTCTTCTCTTGCTTGCTTCGCGTGCTACACGGAGTGTGGCGACTTGAACTTCCGCACATTTGTGCAAAGTTCTATGTCGAAAACAACAGACAGACAGACAGACAGACAGAATGGATGAAAAAGTTTCAAACACAAATTATCGCTGTTCATGATCATGCCAATTGTAATCACACAACTATGAAACTTTCGTTCTATGGTTTTCTTTATTCTCTCTTATTTGTTCTAGGAGCAGTAGAGTTTTCCAGATGTCCGGATGGACAAATGCTAAGTCATTCCTATTACAGACACGTGTTTGCAGTTGATTCGATAAACAAAGCCTCGTTATCAATCTCTCCCTCCACCCTGCTGTTACATTAGATTTTAAAACTGTCATCTTATCCCGTCACCCTATTGTATGGTTGTGTGTAACTGCATGTAGTGAGTGCTATAGCTGAACTAATTTCCAGATTTCTTATCTTATTTTGAGTCAACCAATCTAGATTTTGCTAGGTTTTTATGCTCCACTAGTCTGATTGACTGCCCCTGTTCTACTAGTTTGACTTTTATATTTGACATGACAGTCATTGAAGCAGGGTATTAGATAAACTAAATTTTTTTGTTTAATTGGCCTCACAGGACCCTTTAGCTGACTAAGTCTGTTTGTAATTGAGTTTTTGGGTTTAAATGCTTTTATTCCTGCGTTGTTAAGAATTCTCCGTAAGCTGGTTTCCGATATTCCTTCTTTGTATGGAAGTACTACTGATGATTTAAATTCCCTATTGTTAGTGTTGTCATCATTCTGTGCATGTTTGTCATGCATGTCGTCATTATTAATAATGTTGTTATTACATGCAATAGGAATGATTCAACACCTATCCACAGGGATATCTGGAAAATTCTGCTGCTCCTATGGCGATGAATAGGAAACAAAAAAGAAAACTATAAAACTCAAGTTTCGAAGCTGTGTGATTATAATTGATTCCTATGATTATGGGTAATATCGAATTGTGCTCGAAACTTTGTCATCCAGTAAATAGCAATACTGTTTCATTCTATGTATGATATTTCTAATCAACAAATTCCTATGGAATTACATACTATCACAGTACTGCCCAAGTTTTCAACGTAAAACTTCAAACGAAAGTACAGCAGTTCAACTTAGTACACTCTATATTAGCAAACAAAATGTAAAGGAGCTGTAGTGAATCTAAAATCTATGGGAGAAAGAATAATTACTTGGAGATATACAAGAATTTAATCGATCTGGGAAAGTGCAAATAACCAACGCATCTGCGCCATTGGGGATGATGATATTGAACTACACTCCCAACATTCTCAAAGACACCAATTAAGTAGTCTAACCTCCATGCGTGACTCAGTTCTACAATCAAAAACTTCATGGGTCAATTCCATGCTTTGCTTTAACTGCCACTAACTTTTTACCAACTTAGTTGTATGTGAGCAATCATTGCTTGACGCCGAAGGTGGTGGCCTGACCTAGAAACACACTCACAACTTAAATATTACTCACTATTTTCTACCACTTAGCAAAGAAGATAGAATGCAAATATCGGTGGTTTAAGACATCTGGCCTCTTCAAGTCTTCTACTTTCAATGGCCATATCTCACAGCCATAAAAAAGGGCACAGCGAACTACAAAGCAGTACATGCATCCTTTAGTCGATAGTTGGTTATCATTTCTACACCAGAGATGACCTTAGTTCGCAAGTGCTACACAAACATTCTCTATCCGCGTTCACATTTCATCAACATTCAGTCCATTTGGTCTGATGCAACCTTCCGAAGAAGTGAATTGGTTAACACACTCCAACACTTCACTCCCTATCTGTAAACTGGGAGTCGGCGAAGTGCAATCCTGTATTATCATCTTATAGCATCTTTTTGAAAGTTACCACTTGCTGAATTATGATACTGAGACATCAAAGAAGAACTTCTTTAGTGTTTGTAAAACACTTATCTCATTTTGAACATGGAGAACCAAAAGATTAATTCTGATAGAGTTAAATTAGTTGAGCGCATATTAGGTGTGATTAGTAGTAAAAATGTATTTGTGCAACTCAACTGACTTTTGATAACCTCATGAAAGCTTTTTCATTAGAGAAGAGAACTGCTTTAAATTGTCTTGAAGTCCTCTACATGGTAAGCAGAAAAAAGGTGAGATACACTGCTGTTGTTACTAGGCTAGCATTATATTACAAAATTCTTTTATCATGTACACCTTTCGACTTTAGAGATGTTGATCTGACCTGATTCCCCTACTTAATATGTAAATAATAATTTTTTTAATAATTTTTCCTTCACGTTCCCAGTGGAACATAGGGCTACAAGCCAGTGGCTTGAAGTTTCTGTAGCAGTGTTTAATTTTTACAGGATGGGGTTGCTAGCCTCATGCCCAACCTTTCCTCTTTACCAGCATTATTTCTGGCTCAGTGAGGTAAAGGAGTGCGCCGGCTGAGGGTCGAACCCCGGACCATATGCATGGTCGGCGAGCGTCCTAACCGCTATACCACCGACGCACACTTAATATGTAGGCATTTATTATTCCCTTCGGTTCCGAGTGGAACATAGGGTTTCAACAACACATCTCCTATCTTCTGCCGTCCTCTTCAACCTGAACCACGATTGCTCACAATCTCTCATCTCCTCCTCCTCCCCCCCCCACACACACGATTTCCTCCATGTCACTGTCGCACCGACGACCCATTCATCGCTTCCTATTGGGATTCCATTGGAGAGCATGGTGCGCTAAGTCATTCGACGGTTTCCTCAATGTATGCCCAAACCATCTCTATTTTCTCCCACATATTTGTTGGGCAATCGGCTCTTGGTTGGCTTGTTACCAGCCAGCCAGAGTTTCTTGTTACTAACTCTTTCTGACAGCTGTTGATGAAAGTCTGCAACCTGTTGGAAATCTTATTCATGACACGTAGTGTAAGTTTCTGACTTGTACATATTAAGTGACTGACTTCATATTTGTTTTGAACAGAATACGAATCTCGTTGTTTATGCTGAGTTAGTGCAGAAGATTCCCAAAGTGGTTTCATTTTGATGACGTCATATGTTGCCTTTCCGATTCTGCCTGGCTGGTTTTGACATCTTCATCCGTTCCTCTAGCCTGTAGACACAATTGTAAGTTATCCAAAGAAATGCTTTAAAGTGATGGAAGACATCAAAAACTTACTTTCCTTACTTCTTGATGAATCATGGTTGTGTGTGTGTGTGTGTGTGTGTGTGCGTTTGATATGACTCTTAATTGTTGGTCAAACTTCAACTGACGAGTCGGAGTTCGAACTCGTGGTCGTTTGTTTGAGATTTTTAAGAGTCTAAACCGATAATAGTTTGTTCGAGTTAGAATTTCTTATGTTTTTTTAGTGATGTGAAACGTAGTCAATCATTTCCCCCTGTCTATCAAGTGACACCTTGACCTCTACATCTTTGAAATCATATCACTCTTGTCTGTACTTGAATGGTGGATAGTTTTATTTACTACTTAATCAGTAATCAGTAGTTAATGCATGTACATTTATAACAACAATAATAATAATGTATGTTTACTTTTTTTAAAATTTTCCTGTCTCTCTCTACTTCTCTCCCTCATTTCTCCTCTCTCCCATCCTACTAGTTTTGTCGAGAGTATATTGCTTCAAACATTCCAACTGTTGAATGTGCAATATGCTTACAGCATTTCCGTAATGAAATCGATGTTTACTGTACTCCAAATTTTCATTATTTTCATACGCATTGTATTGGAGAGTATATGGGTCAAAGGCAGGCAGATTATGAAGAAGAACGTAGAGAAATGCTGACAAAATGCCCATACAATGAATTTCCTCTACTTCAAGTATGCTATGTGTTTTATTTAAGTCAAAAAATATTTACCGTTATTGATATTATTATTTGTTTATTTATTTATTTTCAAGTGTTGATTTTGTAGGGGATTTTGTTTGATTGGTTGAAGGATTTCATCATGATCTGATTTCAGTTAGGAAACCATTACAAACCTGGAAGTACTGGACAGTTGTTCCTGTGATCCTAGTTCTGGACTCTTCATCAGTACGCACCCATAACCGGGCTTGTAGACCATTAAACGCCGACTGGGACCCGATCCAATGGCCAGCAAATGAATCCTAACTTCTGCCATTTGATGACATAATTCGACCACTTCGCAATGTCCCCCTCAATGAGTTACCTCCTCACCTTCAACCTGCTGTACCCTACTGGTCATGGCTTCCTAATGGAACCCCAGAATAACTGCCTGAATAGGGCGAGTGGTTAGTGAGCATCTCATTGATATTCAAGTATTGGTTTGTAGGGGATTTTGTTTGATTGGATGGGGGCTTTCATCATGAGCTGACAACAGTTATTCCTTTGCATTCCGTGTGGAATGTAGGGCCTCCTTCAATGACATGGGGTTGACTAACCTCACATCCAACCTTCCTTCTATAGAGGGGGGGGCTTACTATCTGCTAAGCAAGGTATACAGGAGTGCGCCGACTTGTGTGATTGACAAATACCCTACCAGTGAACCACTGACGCAAAATTTGTTCCTTGTAGTCGATACGATCCACCTGATTTAAGTTACTAGAGTATTTTCTTAGCAGACAATGTTATTAGCGCATCTGTATGAGTTTGTCGATCTTTTAATATTCTCAGGGATCACTGATGAAACCGGACAATATTCTTCCTCGCCTGGCCAGATAAAAAAGCTATTTCATTTCGTATAATCCGTTTACTGTACTGATAATCTAGCACAAAGCGTAATCAACCTTATAGTAGCCGGATACACGCTAGTGTGAATATTGTTTACGCTTCGTTATACGGCATTTGGGGAACTTATCAATCATAGATATATGTAGCTGTCTCCTTTTTTGATCATAAGTGTCTGCGTTTTATCTCCCGTGTTATATAGTATTGTAACGACAGAAAACACGGGTCAGGCAACAAATCATTTATTGAGAAAATAAACAGATATTTATAGATTTTTATTTACATTATTATCGGTGGAGAACCAACGTCTTCTGATTGGTTGTTTTCTTGCCGAAGCTTAATCTGCACTGCTTGTAACCGTTTCTCAGAAAGTTAAGCCATATATCTATGAATCATACCTGCAAACGTTAAGTCTGCTGTGATTGGTTGAGTTCGTCAAGGTTAAACTATGTTACTGTTTTTTCTCATGACTTTGATTCGGGAGGTAAACACTGACGTAAACTGTTGTCTACAATTTTTGCTTGCAGCTAGGTCTCACCACAGTAAAATAAGGTGAACAGTATTGAGGTCAGGCTTCGGTCTAGTGGTAGGTGAGGAGGGAAAGTCGACTGATGAGGTTGTGAAGCTAGATCAATTGTAATGGCATGTTTACACACGCCTATGTTAATGTTGGCTGATATAGAGTCAGGTAGAAATAGAAAGAGCTGTGGCGGTGGTCAAATCAAAACTTAACATCAGTTCATCGTGTGCTCTTAGAGGTGTGTGGGCGGTTGTTACTTCCCCCACCTGCCCACACTGTGGAAGTGGATTGAGTCTTCGGGTACCTGAAACAGAAAGAGGGTTAGTGTTGCGTGACCGCAGAACCCAGCGGACAATTGCTTGAGGCCGGTCACACACAGCCTGTATGAACTTGTTTTTGGAAATGGTTCCGTATTAGCAAACTTACCACCAGTTACGAACAAGCGTAGGCCAAGTCAGGATGTACAATTGTTGGGGTTGAACTTTCTTAACCCTACTTCTTAACGCCTACTAATTTCAAATCATACCTATAGCTGTTTACCCTGGCGTAGTAGTGGTGGGGTTTGCATATGTCAGTGACCCAACAAGCTACACTGGCTGGAACTAATGTTCCTGCAGGTCCTACCATGTCAGGAAGGTTGTTAGGATAGCGATTAGGCTAAAAGCAGTTACCGGCTTACACTATGTTGGGGGTCTGTGGGCGAAGTCGTACTTCTGGAGAAACAGGGATGTAACAACAGTGAAGTGTTTTCCTCAGATGACCAGCATTCCACCCACCTATGCTGTCTCTCCACAGTGGAGAGAGCCGGGGTTAGAAAAGGTCGACCCCAACAATTGTACATTCCAACTGGCGGCAAGTTCACTAACACGAACCAATCCCAGAAACCAATTCATACAGGCTGTGTGTGATCAGCCTCAAGCAGTTTTCTGCTGGGCTCTGTTGTCATGCAACACTAACCCTCTTTCTGTTTCAGGTACCCGAAGACTCAATCATGTCTTCACGGCTAAGAAAGAAGCTTGTCCGTCTTAGCCACTCCCATTACTTTTATTATTAGTTCTCAGTTGGCAGACCACTAGACAATCCCTTGTAGGTTTGTGATACTCACGTAAGAGCGATAACTAACAAGGTCATTCAGTTCAAGGACTAGGAAATGAATACATAAAGAACTTGATAGTATGAAATATTCCCATATCACAGGAATTAAAAGTCAATCTGAACGAAGAATATTCTTTTCAATAATTTCTAATCGATTTCAGCCAACTAGCACGTTTATCGCACTTAAATACGACTGCTTATTTTGACATCCCATAACTAGTAATCTGCTGTTATTCTACGTTGGAAAAAATGTATCCGCCACCGCATAACTGGCCGTCATTATTGTAACGACCACAAATATTATAGTTGTTTTATAATTGTAAGAACCTGAAGACGAGAAGGATATATTGAAAAGAATATTCTTCCTCGTTCAGATTGACTTTTAATGCATAAAGAACTAATTGTTTGATTGGTAACCAGATTTCATTATGGGCTGACATCAATTAGAAAACTGTCCAGGAAGTACTGGACATCTGTTTCTGTGGTCCTAGTGTTTGGGACTCTTCATCAGTACGCGCACCCACCACCACCCAGGAATTTCCAGTTACAAGATAAGTTCGTAGACCATTATGACCATGTATATGTTTATTCCGTAAAACTTCCCCTATCTTTGTCTCCTCTTTTCTTTCACAGATACCATGTCCTTTATGTCGTAGTGAATACTTACCGTTCAATGAAGATCTTGTCAAATTATCACATTCGAGGAAACCATGCTGATGAAGCTGACTGTGGAATAATATATGCCTTTTTTTCAGGATTAACTTAGCATATCTTACAAGTTGTGCTTATTGCTTTATTTTCTTAACGAGTATATATATATATATTTAAATCTTATTGAAGTTTTTTATTTATGCCTATTGAAGTTACTTGTGCATTTCCCGTTGGACTGAAATGCTTGTTCCGTCACTAGTGACACTTCGACGGTATCAATTATTATTCCTTTGGGTTCCGAGTAGAACATAGGGCTTCAACAACACATCTCCACTTGGCTCTCTCTCTTTGGTGCTGTCTTCTTCAGCTGGGTCCACGATTGCTCATAGTCTCTCGTCTCCTCCTGCTTGCCATACTATCTCCTCCATGTCACTGTGGCACCGACGACCCACTCTTCGCTTGCTATTGAGATTCCACTCGACGGATAGCGTGCATTTTGTACGATTTCATTCGATGGCCTCCTCAGTGGCGTGTGCCCTCTCCATCTCCACTTTCTCCTACATATTTGTTGAGCGATCGGCTCGTGATTGATTCGTCGCCAGCCAGTGTTTCTTGTTGCTAATTTCTTTCTGGACAGTCAGCTGACTGGTCATTTGTGATCTTCAGTATGCAGCCAGACAGTGAAGGTGGTAGCTGGTGATAAAGATCGGCAACTTGTCGGAAATCCTTTTCGTGAGGTGTGAGCAGTGCAAGGTTCTGACCTCTTTGACTGACTTCACATTTGTGTGAAACATAATACGAATCTTGTACTTTATGTTGAATTAGTGCAGAAGATTTCCAAACTGGTTTCAGGTTGATGAAGACGTATCTTACCTTTCTGATTCTAACTTTAACATCTTCATCCGTTTTGCTTGGTCTGTGATTGAAACTGCGCTTCTTAGATAAGTGAAGGAAGCAACCTCTTTCAAGTTCCTCCCGATGATGATGATGATGATGATTGGTGCGAGTTGTAGTTGCTGTCGGTGCGTGGTTGGTTATCTTCATCACCTCTGTCTGCCAGTTTTTGCCTGCAAGTCTTCGATTTTGTGACACAAAGCATAAATCATCCACACACGAAATCCAGATCTTCTAGAGTCTTCTTATCCGTGATCCAGCGTATTTCTGTCTTCTCGCTCATTCTCTGTGCACACAGTCTTCCGCATGATCCAGTCCACTACAAATGAGAATATCATCCACGGCGGCCTTCGACTCCGTGGATCGAAAGGTACTATGGCAATGTCTGACTGTGAAGGGAGTGCCAAGAAAGTACATTGCACTAATCAAGGCACTCTATTCAAACTCACGTAGTCGTGTAAGGGCTTATGGGGAATTGTCATCTGAATTGGTAACAACCAGTGGTGTCCGACAGGGATGTCCACTTTCCCCATTTCTGTTTAACTTCATCATAGATATGCTGATGGAAGTATCCTTAACTGAACGTAATGACTTAGGAATCGACTTGTTACCAGGGAATAGTCTTATGGACTTAGAATATGCAGATGACATAGTCCTGTTAGGGGAGGATGCTGACAAAATGCAGAGTCTTCTGAACACCTTGAGCAGCAATCTTCGTATGTTTGGCATGCGATTCGCCCCTGTAAAATGTAAGATGCTGCTACAGGACTGGACCGCGTCAACCCCTAACTTAGTGATAGGGAGTGAAGTGATAGAACATGTTGACCACTTCACCTATTTGGGAAGTTGTATTAGCACCAACGGACTGATTGGCGATGAAATCTCAGCACGGATCCGAAAAGCTCGAGCTGCTTTCGCTGACTTACACCATCTCTGGCGTAGGCGTGACATCCGGTTATCAACCAAGGGACGTGTGTACTGCTCATCAGTTCGCTCCGTCCTTCTCTATGGCTCTGAAACATGGCCAATACGCGTTGAAGACATGAAAAGGTTGACTGCTTTCGATCATAGATGTCTGCGATCTCTGTCTCACGTTAGGTGGTTTAATAAGGTAAGTAATGTTGACGTTAGGCGTAGAGTGTTGGGCAAAGAGGGAAAATCAATCGACGAGGCTATAAAGTTACATAGACTAAGATGGCTAGGTCACGTGCTGCGCATGCCTAACCACCGCCTCCCCCGACGGGCATTGCTAGCTGATATAGGTTCAGGTTGGAAAAGAGCCAGTGGTGGCCAAACAAAAACATGGCCTCATCAATCCATGAAATCCTTGACAGTTAAACTGAGTCAGGTAGGGAGATGCAGACTCCCGGGTTGGGGCCCTCGGGACTCTAGGAATCAATGGCTGGAGACAATAGGTGACATGGCTCAAAATCGTTGTCAATGGCGCAGATGTATTCAGTCTCTGTAATCTTTCATATTCCTTTCTACCATTACCCATTCTGTTTCACTCTTATACTTGTCAAACTCTATTGATTCTCTTCATTCATCTTCTTGTCTACCTCTGTGTGCTATTTGGAACGTGGCAACTCGAACTGCTGCACTTCGGTGCTAAGTTCTATGTTGAATCCAGACAGACAGAATATCATCCGTGGTGATAATAGGCAGTCTTGTCGTACTACTGTATTCACTTAGAATGCCTTGCTTAGTTTTCCGTTGTGGATCATCTGACACTTGGCATTGCCACTGTGTCTTGAGATTAATTAAAATGATGTTACTTGGTTTGGTAGTGATCTAGCAGCGGAATCCAGGATGCGCATTTCGCCCTGTTTAGATCTCGCCAACTGGATGTATACCACCTTCCTCTCGAGTAAATGGTGGTGTGCCCACTGAGACTTGAGTCTGAGTAATGACCCTAGAAAGTTCATCAGATTTCATAATATACACATAGAAGTACTGTGCCTAATCATTCAGTCGTCTCCATTAGCGATTTGGTACGGCGGAGCGTGGGTAAACTTCTCCCTCTCGAACTGATCTCATGTGGCTACACGTTCATGGCCTCTGTCACTTAAGTCCTATTCACCATCTTTATGCAGTGAGGGTGATCTTCACGAAAGTGAAAGGGGAAATTCCAACATTTGGAGCTTACAACTGAACTGGCGCAGATGCTGGTCAACCAAGGGGGTAGGGGCTGGAAAATCTTGATTCCAAACCGATGGTGTACATGGGCTCCCAAATCCAAACGGATCGAATGGCGTATGAACCTGTTTTGGTCACCGGCAGTCATGGGAATGCAGCTCCTGACGCTGCCTTGTGGATCAGACCCCAAGTCAACGGCTCGGGGTGAGAGTGGTCCCTTAAGACAACCACCTGCTTCGGTCTAGGCTCCCGGATAGTATCTCAGCCTACACACACATTCAGTGGAATGAAACAACAAACTTCCGGCAAGACTGCTCCGATATTCACTACAATGCTCTTGTACATTATATTTCAAGTGTTGCATTTGTTTTCAACTCTATTTGTATACGTAAGTTTTTGGGTTTTACTTTCGATGTCTTCACTTTCGTCAACCCTTCGCCTTTGTCCGAATTCCCAGCCTATCTATATCGTTTCGAGATATCAGTGAATAACCTTCAAAACGGTGGTCTTCAGTAGAGCATTTAACACAGGTATCCTGAAACCGCGCGTCGCATTCAAGCTGGCCACCTGCAATGTTCGGACACTCATGCAAATTGGACAACAGGCAGGTTTAATAAGAACATTGGACAGCCTCTCTATCGATGTCTACTGCATTTTGAAGAACCGTATTCAAGATCCCAGTGGAGTGCTTCGATTATCCTCTTCATCTGAAAGTTCGAATATTATGTACCACCTGTGCTTATCCGAGGACCCTATGGCGTCGACACTTGGCGCAGCTGGTATCGCACTAAGTGCTAGAGTCGAAGCTGAATTACTCGACTGGATCCGCATTAACAATCCTTTATGTGCTGTGAGGCTGGAAGGTTATACTAAAGTAAGAAGTGATAGACCAGATAAGCGGTACCTATTTGTTGTCCCTGCCTATGCACTGACGGATTGCAGCCAGGATGCAATGAAGGATGAGTTCTACGAACTAAGCGGTCTCTTGGAACAGGCGCGTCGGAGGGATATCGTAACGCTGGCTGGGATTTGAATATACAGGTCTAACGTCTAAGCTCAGAGGAGAGTCGTCTAGGTGGTCAATGGGGCTTACATGGTCGCAGGTCAGACAGTGGCGACCGTCTTCTATAGCTTTGCGCGGATCACAACCTATTTCTAGCCAGCACCAACTTCCGGCACAGCCATCGTCGTAGCGCTACCTGGCGTCCTCATTCTGCGAAGCAAGCTCGAACTCAGATTGATCATATTGCTGTCAGTCTCCGGTGGCCAGGATGCATACAAGACTGCCACTCTTTCTGGAGCACATGCCTAGACTCCGATCATGCGTTAGTGTGTGCCAGGTTCGTCTTGCGAATTGGTGGGGTTCATAAACGGCGTCATCTGAATGTTGATGTAAGCAAACAGGTAGCACCTGATACACCATTTGTTCATCGAGTGTCGTCATCTGGAAACACCGGCCTTGGTAGCTTGGAGATGTACTACGTATGTCATCCCAGAGATTTTCGTACATGTCTCTGTTCGTTAACCCTGGGACGGGATAGAAAAAGCGGAGAGGTGGTCAGCCCATGACGTGACGTCATGAGATGAAGGCTATTTGTTCTAGATGAGCATCGGTTGATACGTCATGACTCCCTGGTCGGAGTTCGAGAGATAGCTCGAATCGATGGTTCGAAACTTATCGGATATAGGCAAGAATCGCAATCAATGGCAAACATGCTTTATTTTATTTTTTGATTACAGCTTGATTCCACACCGTATTTTTGGGACAAGTGTGGAATTTTCAGCGTGGATATCGGTAGCCAAAATTCGCAGGCCGATCATAGATATCAGGTGTGCGTCGGCGTGGGCTCGAACCCCAGACCATTTGCATGGTCGGCGAGAGTCATAACCACTGTGCCACCGACGCTGCAATTTTTTTCTTTCTTCCCTTTCCGACAATAATTGACGAATGCTGTTTGAACTTGTTTAATATGACCGCTTTCCTCCCAGATGTAGTACTTTATCTGTTCTCTACCAACATTTTTACTTCTTACCTTATATGTTCTTTTATTACTATTGTATGGCTCATCTTTATGCATATTGTACCAAGTATTTTGTGTTTAAATAAATAAAAAATCTCTACGCAAACTTAGTTTAAATAAATCCAGCTGTTCAGTAGAAGAATAAAACAGTGAATAGATGTAGTTTCAATAAATTCTTCTTCAGGCTCTAGAGTTATGATGACTCTAATCACGAGTTGGCATCATTTGAAGAACCATCGGAAAACCAGGAATTACTGGATAGTTGTCTCGTTTCACTTTACGACTCTTCAACAGTACGAACCCACCGGGTTCGAACGCACGACCTTCTTGCAGGGCGAACCAGTAGACAATTTAACCACTAGGAGCCAGTTCCATGGTTCACGAGTTCCAATTTCTGACAATCAACGATATATGGTGCAACTGTGGAAAGATAACAATCACTCGCCCATATAACCTTATCTGACAGTTGCGCTAAATATGGCAAATTAGCAGAAGTTGGAAGTTACGGGTCATTGGGTTGTGTCTCAGTGGTTGACTGATCTTCGAGATCGACTGTTAGCCTCAGGGGGTGCATACTGATGAAGAGTCTCCAACTGAGACGAAACAGCTGTCTAGTATTCCCTGCTGGCTTTCCAATGGTCACCTAACCGATGTCAGTGTTCATGATGAAATCGTGAAATTTCTAAATCCATTTATTTTGGCACAGTGGTTAGGACTCTCGCCGACCATGCACATGGTCCGGGTTCGAGCCCACGCCGGCACACAGCTGATATCTATGGTCGGCCTGCAAAATTTGGGCTACCGATATCCATGCTGAAAATTCCATACTTGTACCAAAAATACAGTGTGGAATTAAGCTGTAAATCAAAAATAAAAATTAAAAAAAATAGAATGCATAAACTAGAATTACATTAGAAAGTGTGGTCGATAAGAATATCGGATAAAATGAAATCAAATAATTTAGTGATGTGTGTGTGTGTCTGCCTACTTAATAGTCAATAAAAGTGCAGGTTTCAAGAGGTGAGTGTTATTAGTGGCTTAAGATAGGCAGTATGAATACCAGAGAGAAATACACTAATAAATGGTATACAAGCCAGCCATAAGTTCAAGGCTAACAAATAATAACGATGGTATTTACGGGTTGACCATGGATTGATATCAGTTAGAGAACCAGGGAGTACTGGACAACTGCTGTTTCACCCTAGTTTGGGAATCATCGTCAGTACGCACCCATTGGGGGTTCGAACCCAGGACCTTCCGGCTACAAGGCAAGCTCGTATACCATTCAGCCACTGGGACCTGATTCAATGGCTTATGAATTCTAACTTCTACCAGTGGCTAAATGGTATACGAGCTTGCCTTGCTTGCAACCGGTAGGTCCTAGGTTCGAACCCCAATGGGTGCGTACTGCCGATGATTCCCAAACTAGGATGAAACAGCAGCTGTCCAGTACTCCCTGGTTCTCTAACTGATATCAATCCGTGATCAACTCGTAAAAACAAAGCTAACCCTTACAAACCAAACTGTAGAAAGCGATGGTATTGTTGTTGTTGTTGTTTAGACACATAAAAGTACTATTAGTGAACGGTTATCAGGTAATAAAGGCGAATGAGAAGTCTTTTGTCATTCTTGCTTTATTATTTGTTTAGATTATAATCAATATTATATATTACTATTCCCTTGAAATCCCCGAGTGGAACATAGGACTTCAAGAACACATCTCCATTTCGTTCTGTTCTCTGCTGTCCTCTTCAGATGGGTCCATGAATGTACATAATCTCTCATCTCCATGTCATTGTCGCACCGACGACCCCCTCGTTGCTTCCTATTCCGGTTCCACTCAAGCAATGGCCTGCATTGTGCGCGGTCATTCGACAACCTCCTAAATGTATGCCCTCTCCATTTTCTCCCACCTATTTGTTGAGCAATAATCGGCTCTTAGTTGGTTTGTTCCCATTCAGAGTTTCTTGGTGCTAATTGTTCCTGTCCGACCGATTGGCCATTTGATCTTCAGTATGGAGCCAGCCAGCGAAGGGGGTAGCTGTTGATAAAAGTCTATAGTAGCCTTTTGGGAGTGCTCTTTGTGACACGCAGTGCAAGTTTCTCACCCGTAAACGAGAACTGACATTTGTCTTGAAAATCTGAATCTTGTTCCTTTATGCTGAGTTAGTGCAGATTTCCAAAGTGATTTCAGGTTGATTCAAGGCACATCTCGTCTTACCGATGTTGACTGATCTTGCCATTTCATCCGTTTTTGATATTCTGGGGTTGAAAGTATGCTACCTGGTCAGATAAGTGAAGGAAGTAACCTCTGTTACATCTATTTCGTTGATGGTGATTACTGATTGTTGTTGTTGTTCCCGTTGTTGCTGGTTGCCTATCTTCATCACCTCTATGTTCACCTGCAATCCTGTCTTCACTGCCAGTCAGCCTCTTCAACCAGATTGTTGGTTTTCACCTGTGTGTCTTCTAGTTTGTGTAACATTTTTGCGAAATTCAGATCTTTTAGAGCCTTTTTAACGGTAGCGTAGCCCAAGGTATTCCCGTCTTCTCACTTCCCACAATCTGACGCATAATCCAGTCTACCATAATTAAGAATATCATCGGTGATAATCGGCAGGTAGCCTTGTCTTACGCCTGTATTCACCTCGAATACCTCGCTGAGTTTTCCGTCGCGTCTCACCTGACACGTGGCACTGTCATATAGTCAGTCAGCTGTTGAACGAAGTTAATAAAGACTTGCGCATTGCACGCTGTAGTAGTACCCAAATTACTTCTCGGTCTACACTGTCGAAGGCCTTTTCGCAGTTGAGGTAGAGATTTGACTGTCATCCTATGCGCTGTCTGTTCGATGATGATGACGATGGTAGAGTTGCAATTTGTTTTATCAGCGTATGATTTGCCTTTCTTGAATCCAGCTTGTTCCGGCAGAGTTCTGCATCTAGTGCATCTTTTATTCTCTCCAGGATGATGCGAAATAGCATTTACTTGGCGTGGAAAAGATTATAATCTAGTTAAACATAAAGCATCAAAATAGGCCTTGCAATACATAAAATAATTCAGAGAATGCATAGATCTTACTTAGAGGTGTAGAAATAGTGCTTAGGAGGGAAAGACTTGTGTCCTCATGGAAGTGTGTAGACTGTCGTCACATGGTGCTCGCGCTCGTAACTTGAAATTGGATTTCTTCTTGGCGTTTCAGTGCCACATGACTACAGAGCCTAGAGGATAACTTTTTTTAAATGGGTTTTTGGAGCTGTGTCCATATTATGATCTTAACTCAATGGAACAGATGCATTCAATTTTTGTGGTCTGTCATATCCAATAAACCCTATTGGCTTTCCCTGTTACTATCCTTTCTCCCTAACATTTCTCCTTATTAGCGTCCTTTCGAATCTTCTTGTTATCTTTCTCTCTTTGCTCAACGTATAAGTACTAAATGGAATGTGGCAACTTGAACTGCTACACTTCCACGTGCAAAGTATTTTCTATTGAACCCAGTCAGTCAGCTTAGGTCACTCGCTAAGCTCACCACCGGAGATCCATCCCAGTGTGGTGAGAGCTATCTGCAAGCCGAAATTGTAGACAACAATTTACGTCAATGTTAGGTGCCGAATCAGGGTCATGAGAAAAAAAAACAATAGCAAAGGTTAACCTTGAGGAATTCGACAAACACCCCGAGCAGACTTAGTGTGAGCAGATACGATTCGCAGACAGATCACCGGACTGTCTAAGAAACGGCAACAAAGAAATGACAGGATAACCTTCAGTAAGAAAACAACCAATCAGAAGACTTTGATTCTCCACTGACAATAATGTAAATTAAAAATCTATAAATATCTGTTGATTTTCTCAATAAACGATCTGATGTCTGACCCTTATCTTCTGTCGTTACACCAGGACGTTCACGTTAAGAGGGTGTCAACCTGTTGACCACCCACAGCCAATGAAACGGAATCCAAAAAGACTAAGGGATGCTAACTTCTATGACGATTTCTGCTGCAATAATTGATCTTACAGAGAATATCAATTATTCCTTCCTTTATGTGATTGTAATTAATGTTTATAAAAACTACACGAACATTTTTGCATCAGTGGCATAGCGGCGGAATGCTCGCCAATCACATCCCATGTGGTTCGGGGTTCGATCCCCAGCCATCGACGCACTCCTCCTTTACATCGCTACACCGGTAATAAGACTGGTGAAGAGGAAGGTTGGGCTAGTTGAGGCTAGCAACTAACCAATCCCGTAAAAATAAAAAACACCACTGCTACCGAAACTCCAACCCCCTCTAGCTTGAAGCCCCCTTCAAGTTCCACTAGGAATGTAACGCAATAAAAATTTTCGCACTAGAATCAGAAAAGCAAGACAAGTTTCATTGCTCTCTAGTCTGTGTGGAGGTCAACAGCACTCAGGATGTAAATAGAAATAGGATCCGGATTTTCAAGTCCAATGTGAAGTCACTGCTACTTACTATACGGATCAGAGACTTGGCGCGTACTGAAGAGCACCTCAAACAAACTACAGACCTTGATTAACAGCTGTCTTCCCTCAATACTCAAGATGAAATGGCCAGAAAAATCAGCAATAGGGTCTCTGGGAGCGAACCAACCAGGAACCGGTTATGCAACAAATATGCAGGAGGAAATCGAGACAGATTGGCCATACTCTGAGGAAACCATCAAGTAACATCACTAGAAAAGCCCTTGAGTGGAACCCGAAAGGGGAGCGGCGAGTTGGTCGTCAGTACAAGGGTGACTTGGAGGAGGTCATGTGAAGAGGAGATGAAAGCATGGGGCAGACTTGGAGCCAGGTGAAAACTCTAGCAGAGAACCGAACGCAATGGAGACACGCGCGGCTGAAGCCCTATGTTCCTCTAGGAATTAAAGGAAATAATAATAATAATAATAGAAAATAATTTTTGCACTAGAAAAATTTGGTTTATTTGAAATGTATGAGGATACAATGGACACAACAATATATAAAAAAAAGTTATGAGAGTAAAAATACGCGCAAATGCAAGTCTTAGAAAAAAGAAATGTGTGTATACATAAAACGGATTTTTAAAACAAAATCATTATTATGATTATTATTATTATCATTATTGTCATCACCGTTTTTGGTAAAGATCATTGATTCATTTAATGTACTTCATTATTTTAATTTGACAAGATATACTTAAGAAAGTAATTCGTCGAAAGGAGAGTTCGGTCATAACCGGGATTCTTTCGTGTGACTTTTGTTGGCCTTTTTTTATGTACAGAAATATGATCCATCTTATGAATAGTAGGATAACAAGGAAAATGAGTCGTATTTAAATTATCCTCCACCTAAGTAGATGATCCTTTATGAAATTGAATATATGAGAATGCAATTATTCCGATTAATGAAATTGCATACATTGTACAGACCAATTCAGGGAATGGTGTGGTAAACGAATTCATTAATGACTGAAATAAATATATACATATAAAAATGAAAAAGAAAGATGTTGATTAAGAATTAAGAAACAACATCATATAGGTAGATTCATTCCAATTATTAGATTTCATGACGAAGTAACATCAACTGGAGAGATCATTGAACAACTGTTTCGTCCTGCTTTCTTGCTACTCTTCAGCAGTGTGCACCGACTACCCGACAAGGGATTGAACCCAAGACCTTTAAGTTAAAAAGCCAAGCTTTTTGACTATTTAACCACTTCAGATGGAATTCAATGACCTGAGAATCCCAACTTTGTCAACTCACACTGAAGAGCCCCAAAACGGGACGACACAATTTTCAACTGTTCCCTGGTTTTACAATCATTTCTCGAGCTAACGTTGGGGTTCATGAAAAAAACTAATCAATTGAGAGTGGAAGACATGAAAAGATTACCTGTCTGCGATCATAGGTGTCTGCGTTCTATCTCCCATGTGAAGTGGTATAGTACGGTGAGCAGTATTGAGGTTAGGCGTCGAGTTCTAGGTTAGGGGGGAGGGCGAATCATTCGAAGAGGCTGTGAAATTACATCGACTGGGGCGGTTAGGGCATGTGTTACGTATGCCTAGCCATCGATCGCCTTCCTCGACGGCCAATGTTAGCGGATATAGGGTCAGGCTGGAAAAGAGAGTTAGTGACGGTCAAACCAAAACATAGCACCAGCCAATGAAATCCACAACAGTTAGTTAAGGCCACGTAGGAAGGTGCAGACTTCTTGGTTGGAGTCCTCGTTCTCAATGGCTGGAGCAGATGCATCTACTCCTTGTGACATGATTTCCAATGAAACTACATTGTTCTTCGTCATTACTATTCCTTTGTCTCACACCTCTGTTTACTGTTTCTATTATGCATTTCTTCTACTTTCTTCACTTGCATTGTGTGCTGCATGGAGTGTGGCGACTTGAACTGCCGCACATCAGTGCAAAGTTCTATGTCAAAAACAGACAAATAGACAGACTGTGATACAAAGTCACTAAAACCAGTTTATAAACTTCTTCTCATAGTCATGGACCAGTCAGTCTATCTTCATTTTCATCGGCTGTGGAATTCGGAAGTAATCCGTGATTCGTATCAGTATTTGAACGCACGAATCGGCAGTACTATGACATTCCTAATGCGTTGGTGGTTCAGTGGTAGATCGTTCATCTGGTCAGATTCATCGCTGATGCGAGTCTAGTTTATTAACTGACAGTAAGCCAGGAGAGGAGAGGAAGTAAATTGTGATGCTAGTAACGTCTTCAACTAAAAGACAGCACTGCTACTGAAACCTTAGGAGCCCTATGTCATACTTGGAATAGTGCTGAGATTAATTAAACGAAGGGGACTTTTCTTAACCAACTATATTACAGTTTTGTCTACAGATCCTGGAGACAAAGAATAGTCTATTACTGAACAATACATTGAGTTTATATCCAGTAACTTAAGTACTCAACTTTGAGCCAATAGGTCTCGAGGTTCAAAGCTTTCTTTATCTACTTCAACCTGGGAAGTGCTTAATATCACCAACCTTCACACAATTAGTATGGCTTAGAACTCAACCTTTGTCATTCATTTGACTTTCGAGGGGAACATAGAGCGCTTTCAGGCTTGAGATTTTGAAGTTTCAGTAGCGTTGGTGTTGATTTCACGGGGTTGAGTTACTAGCCTCACAACCAGTCTTCCTTCTCTACCCGATTCACTACTGGCTAGGAAGGGTTTAAGAGTGCGTCTGTAGGAGGGGGGTGGGTGTGGAATCCTAGAATATGTGCGTGGCTAGGCAGGATTCAGGCATTGAACTACCAATGCACTTATAACCTATTGCAGCCAGGTAGAACCAATGAAATGATAACGAAAATACTAAGGAATGTATGAAATACAATATAACAGGTGTATGTTAATTGTTCTAGTAAGCTCATTTAACAGGTGAAGAAATTAATTGACTGGTTTCAACGTAGAACTTCGCACAGATGTGCACCAGTTCGAGTTGCCACTCTTCCTCAAGGTACCACACAAGGCAACAGAAGACAGTAAAGAGAGAGAGAGAGAGATTCAAAACACAAAGAGAGATAATAAACGGAAGTGTGAGTGAAGCGAAAAGAATAGTAATATGAAAGGACAACAGAAGTTCATTGGATATTCACAGTGAGTGAATATATCTGCGACATCAATGAGGACGATTTTGAGCTATATCTCCAATAGTCTGTAGCTGTCATTGATTCTTACTAATCACAGATGGAATTAACTTTAACCGACTTCAGCGATTCAGGGATTGACTTGTTACCACCAGGGAATCATCTCATTGACTTAGAATATGCAAATGATATAATCCTCCCAACTAAGTGAAGACGCTGACTAAATGCCGAGTCTCCTGAACACCTTGAGCTGAACAGCAATCTACGAATGTTTGGCATGCTATTCACCGCATTAAATGTAAGATGATGCAACATGACTGGAGTACATTGACTCACTCCTAACTTGAAGATAGACAGGAGTGGTTTGTGGAGGAGTTGCGTCGGCCAGTACCAGCGGGTTGGTCGCTGACGGACATCTTAACAAGGATACAGAAGGCTCGTTTAGTGTTTGTCTGCCAACATACGACATCTCTGGTTTAGTAGGCGTGATATCCAGCTGTCGACTGAAGGAAGTATGGTGTGTACTGCTCAGCAGTCCACTCCCTCATCCTTTATGGCTGGCTGTGGTGAGACATGGCCGCTGAAAGTGGAGGACATGAAACGCAGGCTAGCAGTCTTTGATGATAGGTATCTGCGTGTTATCTCCCGTGTGAAGTGTGGTAGGTGTAATAGGATGAGCAATGTTGAGGTGAGGCTTTCTTTGGTCGAGTGGTAGGCAAGATAAGGAGAGGAAATCAATCAACGAGGTAGGTTGCGAATCTCTGTTGACTACATGGCTACATGGAGTGTGGCGACTCGAACTGCTGAACATCGGTGCAAACTTCTATGCTGAAACAAGTCATCCAGTCAGTCAGTCACTGTTTTCGTGATATCTACTCCTCCTGAAGATGGATGTATTGGATGACATCACACGTCACACCCCTTGATGTAACCTTTATTGAAAACGACGACTTAAGCCTCGTCTGAGGGTAACCTAGAGGTGGCTGTACGACAGGGAAATAGTAGAACTTTATGGACGATCGTGGAGCCAAGGCTAAAAAAGAATATAGTGATAGGAATCAAATGGCAATATACTCCTGAAGCTTGATATTCCCCACAAGGAATTCAAAACACGAGGACAGTTTAGCATACATACCAAAATAAAATTAACCAAATTCATACTTACTAAAGCAGCTAATCCCATATGCATTATGTATACAAAAATCATTTGTCCATATAATCGATTTAAGAAAGCATTGAAGAGTATCAGTGACCAGAATACTTGAAGCATTGACATACACATAACATCAAATGCTAAATTTTAAAGTTAAAAGAAAGTAGAAAATAAATTCAGCTATGAATAGAGGATGAAATATGTAATACTTGAATTTCAGTGAGATGCTCACTAGCGACTGGTTCTATTCCAGGGGGAAGTCGTGACCAGCAGGGTGCAGCAGCAGGTCGGGTGTGAGACTAAACACTTGCCAGTGAAGACATCGGCTAGTGGTCACACTATGTCATGAATTGGTAGAAGTTGGAATTCATGGGCTGGCAACTGGATCGGGTCCCAGTGACTTAATGGTCTACGAGCTAGCTCGCCTTGTATCCAGAAGGTACTGGGTACGAACCTTGGTTGTGGGTGCGTAGTGCTAGAGTCACCCACCAAAGCTAGCACGAAACAGCTGTCCAGTATTCCAATGCTGGTTTTCCAATAGTTCTCTAACTGATGTCAGCTCATGATGAAATCCTGCAGGTCAGCTCCAACTAATAGCTTAAAGTTACATAATTTGTTGTGGTTACAACACAACAGTAGAATCGATGGTACGCGCGTTTCAACTATATTTGGTACTATCTCCAATGTTAGTTATGGTATTCACCATCACATAACACTTCACATTTTTAGAAGGCGAAATTTCTTGTTCAATTCATCGAGGCTTAAGCACACTCTGCCCCTGCTCTCAGGATTGATCTTAATTCTATGATTCAATATTCAATAGTAATTCATATAAGCTGTACACTTACACATCTACGGGCTGTAAAACAGTAAATTAAAACACACATACAAAGAAACAAGATCGATACTTATTGACCTACAAAATCATTGTATCAATCGTTTTAAACAACAAAAAGTAGACAAACGATAAGAGGAAAAAGGCGGGAAAGATTTACTGACAAATAAATCAATGAATACTTTAACCAATAATAATAATAAGAAGAAGAAACATATGCAGATATTTGGCAACTATTTAGCTACTACGGGGTGCCTTCAACAATTGTACATCTCATCCAACAGTTGTACGATGGCGCTACATTGCCAAGTAATCCACATCGGGAAACCCATGGAATCCTTCGAAGAAGTGAAGACGGGAGTAAGAAAGGGGTATCTACTATCTCCAATTATTTTCTTGATTGTGTTAGACTATATAATACGACAGACAGTCAGCAAGCCACAAGGAGACAGGCATAAAATGAACCCAAACAAAGACAAACTTGGAGGATCTGGACTTCACCGATGACATTTGCCTGATTTCCCACAAACTGGAAGATATGCAAGTGAAAAGCAACAATTTGGCAGAAGAAGCATCCAGAAAAGATAGGACTTCAGGTGAACATCGAGAAAACAGAGGTGATGAAGATTCACAGCCAACAGCCACGGCAACAACAACAACAGACAACAATTAGCATAAATGGGAGAAATCTGAAAGAAGTAACCACATTTACCTACCTACCTACCTATCTGAGAAGCATCGTTTTAATTACAGGTGGACGGAAATGACGAGATATTCTTTGATTACAGCTTGATTCCACACTGTATTTTTCGTACAAGTATGGAATTTTCAGCATGTGATATCGGTAGCCCAAATTGTTCAGGCCGATCATAGATATCGGGTGTGCGTCGGCAGGGGGTCGAACCTCGGACCATGTGCATGGGTTGGCGAGAGTCCTAACCACTGTTCCACCGACGCTCAGTTCGTGGGAAAAAAAAACGTGAAATCAATGACACCTTCTACAATGCAAACACTTATTCTACATATATTGAAAAACTTACATGCTGTCAGAAAGAATGTTTTAGAATCCCATGATGTTGTATGCATCAGAATTCCAGGTCCAAAAGAATCAATCAATATACGTAATAGTTGAGTTAGACAACTCATTAAACCATAGCCTAAACCGGATACATATGCGATAATATGATGATCAAGTGCTAGACGACTGCTGACAACACTGCAATTACCATTATTATCATTATTGCTATTATGATTATTGGTATCGCCTGTAGGATCATTAGTGATTGATGTTATACAAGGAGTTGGTGATATGACGACTCTGTTTCTTAATAGATCTATTGTCTCACCTTCAGTGGTGTTATTATTATTATTATTTTGATTATTAGCATTACTATTAGTAATATTTTCACTCAGATGAGATTGTCTTTGTGAAGAAGGCTGTGACCTTCGTGGATTTGAAGTACTGACAATAATTTGAAGACCAGATTCAGCTTTACTGTAGGAGGGGAAAAATTAAGACATTAAAAAAAAAGAGAAAAATTATTAATACAATTGAATTCTGAAATTCAAAATAACAGTAAATAATAATTATTACTGATGAGTGCCTACTAGCACGCAACCTACGGTCCTACAGGAGGTCAATCGCGAGCCAGGCCGAATAGCTCAGTGGTAACGTCCCTAACTGCAGCAATGGGTGACGTGGGTTTGAATCTCAGAAGGGACATGAGGTTCCTTCAAGGTTGCAGATATACGCCTTGCTGACTGGCGAGTGCCAACTAGCAAGGCTGCCTGTGGCCGACTGCCCCCAACTATCTAATATCATCAATAATTATTACTATTCGAGTATTGGCGGACTGGGTCATGTGACGGACGGTGGGGGGAACACGAAGACTGGAATTTGTTGCGCTGACGAGCAAACTTTAGAAGATTACGATCTTGCTGATAATTTATGTCTAATGCGACACAACGTCGAAGATCTACAGGCGAAAACCAACTGGTTGGCAGAAGAAGTCGGCAGAGAAGACAGAACTTTAAGTGAATATAGAGAAGACGCTGGTGCTGAAGATAACCAACCAATCATCATCAACAACAACAGAAGATGAAGATGTCAAGGCCAATCAGGATTAGAAGGACAGGACACACCTGCATACCTTCTTAGGCATCGAATGCTAGGTAAGGAGGGTAAGTCAGTTGACAAGCTTGTGGAGTTACACCAGTTGAGATGGTCGTGGCATGTGTTACAAACATGCATTCTTAGCCATCCACCCATCACCTGCCTCGACGGAAAATGTTGGCCAATTGACATAGGATAAGGTTAGAAAAGGGCTTCATCAGTCAATCGAATCCACAACAGTTAGTTTGAACCAGACACGTAGGGAGGTGTAGACTGGCTACCTAGAGTAAATGCATCTCTGCACCACTGACAACGATTTTGGGTCATATCACAAATTTTCTTTACCCACTGGTTTTTAACATCCTGAGGAACCCAACCAGTCAGCCAGCTTGTCTACACCTCCCTAAGTGGCTGGCTTAAACTAACTGTTGTGGATTTCATTAACTGATGAAACCATGTTTTCATTTGACCAACGCTAGCTCTCTGTTTTCCAACCTGATCAACCCGAAGTCAGCAAACAGTTCTCGTCAAATATGATGAAGGTGTCATCATTTCCTTTCCTTTTGTAAAAATTCAGTCTCTTGTTAACAGGTACAAGAGTACTGCTCTCGCTACTAGTAAAATACGATTGTACAGGTACCAAAATGACGAAGTCGTCGAAAAGTGAAATTTTCTTCTCTGAAATCTTTGTTTTATGTCTTAGTGGCAATTATAGTCATTTAATATCTAAGTATTTTATTGGATACTAGTCATTAACTAATGTGATGTGTGTAGACATACAACAGCAGATATGCTGACTCCATTATTGCAGAAGGTCTGAAAGGAAGGAAATGTGCCTACTGACTGGAGGAAAGGTTAGCACCTCGTGAAACTACCAAAGAAGTGCGATTTACGCCTCACTCTGCAAGAACTGGCGAGGAATCATGCTCCTGTCGACGCCAAGTAAAATCCTGAGTCGCATCATCCTGGAGAGAATAAAGGATGCATTGGATACAGAACTCCAACCAGAACAAGCTGGATTGATGGAAAGAAAAATCATGTTCTGACCAAATTGCAACTCTACGCATCATCATCGAACAAAGCATGGAATGGCAATCAAACCTCTACCTCAACTTTATAGACTTTGAGAAGGCCTTCGACAGCGTTGATCGTGAAGTAATTTGGAAATTACTCGAGTACCATGGCGTACTCCAAATATTCATCAACCTTATTCAACAACTGTACTACAACGGCACCTGCCAAGTGATCCACAACGGAAAACTCAGCCAGGCGTTTGGAGTAAACACAGGAGTCAGACAAGGGTGCTTATTATCACCCACGATGATATTCCTAATTGTGGTGGACTGACTGAATTGTGCGTCAGACAGTGAGTGGGAAACGAGAAGACAGGGATATCCTGGACCGACCGACGTGAAGAACCTAGAAGACCTGGCTTTCGCGCGTGGATGATTTATGCTTGATGTCACACAAAATCGAAGACTTACAAGCGAAAACCGACAAAGTGGTCGAAGAAGCAGCAAAGACAGGACTACAGGTGAACACAGACAAGATGGAGGTTATGAAAATAACCAACCAACACCAACAGCAGCAACATCCAGCGCCAATCACCATCAACGGGAGGGATTTGAAAGGAGTTACTTCACTCACTTATCTAGCATTGAGCACTGTCTCAACTACAGGAGGAACGGATGAGGATGTCAAATCGAGCGAGAATCGGGAAGGCTAGAAACACATTCATCAACCTGAAACCAATCTGGAAATCTTCGTCACTCAGCATCACCAAGAAAATTCGGTAGGATTTTCAATACAAACGTCAAGTCAGTTCTTCTCTACGGATCAGAAACTTGGTGGATCACAAAGAATATTTCCAACCAACAGGTTGCAGACCTTCACCAACAACTGTCTTCGCTGGTTCTATACTGAAGATCAGATGGCCGGGTCGGAAAGAATCACCAACAAGAAACTATGGCTGGGAACAAACAAAACAAGAACCAATCGCCCAATATATATGCAGGAGAAAAAGAAGATGGATCGGACACTCGCTGAGGAGATCACTGGGTGACATCGCGCGTCAAGCCCTCGAGTGGAACCCGAAAGGGAAGAGACGAGTGGGACGTCCAAGGGTGACATGGAGGAGGTCGTGTAAAGAGGAGTTGAAACAGTATGGACTAACATGGATGGATGCAGGTGAAAAGTACAGCAGCAGAAGACAGAAGTGACAAGTGGAGACGTGCAGTTGAAGCCCTATGTTCCACTAGGAACCCAAGGGAATAATAATAATAAACAAACACACGTTATAATTGAGCAAAGAATATCCTTTCGATAATTTCCTTTTCTGGCTCTACAATGTTTATATACATAGAATATTCTAGATTAGTAGTCAATAACAATATTAGTGTTTTTTTAAAATAATATCGATTTGTTAAGTAAGATCACCCTGCGTGGTTAAGTAAAGGAATACCAAAATCTATTCGTAGCGCTATTTTATCTCACTCATCTTGTGGATACAGAACACAAGATTGATGTCAACCAGGCTGCTTTTAGAGTCATTTACCGCAAACCAACAAGTCTTAATGTCGCCTTAAAAGTTCAATAAATAAATATTTCTGAGGTCGTTGGGATCCACATTAAGAAGCCTAATTTGTGTATCCAGAAGAAGCTAGTTCAGACATTATCCTTACCTTGGCCATCTAGGTTTGAATGAGCCTCAGTTTGTTGTGAAAATTTCATTAATTTTAGATGATATTCTATACGCTAGTATATCTGTATTATTTTTATTATTATTATAATTTAAGCATCTTTCGTGAACTGTAATTCCACTGTGATCTTACTTTACAAATCGATATTATTGAAAAAAACAGTAATATTGTTATTGACTACTAATCTAAAATATTCTATGTATATAAACGTATGTATATATAATTGTAGAGCCAGAAGAGGAAATTATCGAAAAGGATATTCTTTGCTCAATTATTTTGTGTTTTTAAAAATGTCTGAATGAATATTTTCGCTATATTGAAACACACATTAGTTTATAACTCCTGGGTTATACTGAACAACAAATTCATCGATATCACTTAGAGAACCGCTGAAAAAATCAACAGGGAGTACTGAGGACAGCTGTAGCATCTTAATTTTGGACTCTTCAGCACTACGCACCCCGACCACCAGAGGGATTTGAACCCGGGACAACCTCAGTCATCACAAGGTATGCCCATAGACCATTCCCAACCAGTCTACAACCCGATCCAATGGTCTACTAATTCATGATTTTAGCACGACGGTTCCGCCTAACTGACATTAATCTATGATCAAACTTGAAATAAATCAATAAATCAATAACAATGTTGGTCGATATTTTAAAGATTAAAACAATTCAACTATAAAAGAAAGAAAGCAGAATTTGATTAAACTTACATAACTAATAAAAAGAAAAGAAATCTTAGCACTTCTTGTACTAGCACACCAATAAGAATTCCAAATGCAAGATATCCTCGAAGAGGAGTAGCAATAAACCATATCAGTGATGTTGTGAGTAATGATAGTAACCAGAAAAAGCCACTAGATTCAGTTATATATAAAAAAATTTTAAACAAAAAAAATAAAATAAACGAAATTATAATAATTATAACAATAAAAATATGAACTATTTTAATAATTGGTTAGTTAGCATAGAAAGTGTATGCATGAATAACATTGATATATGTTCCAAAATGGGCATACAAATCTTTCCTGAACTTCGACTAATAGGTCATTTAATCTTTGACTCCCTAAGTCTTCAGTCCCTGTATCTTTGTCCATTAGTCATATTCTCTATCATCCTGATCAAGGCACTCTGCTTGAACTCATGCAGTCAGTCAGATGAAGGCCTACGGAGACTTGTCATCTAAAGTGATGGCAACTACTGGTGTTTCCCATCAGAGATGCCCACTGTCACCATTTCTGTTTAATTTCATCACAGGTGTACTCATAGAATTAACTCTAACCGACTTCAACGACTAATGGATTTAACCATAACTCACTTCAGCGACTCAGGGATTGACTTGCTACCAGGGAATAATCGCGTCAATTGAGAATATGCAGATGATACAGTCCTTTTAGGCGAGGACGCTGACAAAATGCAGAGTCTTCTGAACACCTTGAGCTGCAATCTACGAATGTTCGGCATGCGATTTGCTCCCAACAAATGTAAGATGATGTTACAGGACTAGACTACACTGACTCCTAGTTTAAAAATAGGGGTGAAGTGGTAGAACACGTTCACCGCTTCACTTATTTGGGAAGTACCATCAGCCCCAACGGGTTGATCTCTGACGAAATCTCGGCACGAATACAGAGCGCTAGTTTCGCATATGCCAGTTTACGCCGTCTCTGGCGTAGACGTGATATCCGGCTATCGACCGAAGGGCGCGTGTACTGCTCAGCAGTTCGCTCCGTCCTCCTTTATGGCTGTGAGACCTGGCCATCGAGAGTGGAGGCATGAAAACATTAGCTGTCTTTGATCATAGGTGCCTGCGCTCTATCTCCCGTGTGAAGTGGTATAAAATAGTGAGCAATATTGAGGTTACGCTTTAGTCGAGTGCTAGGTGAGTAGGAGGGGGAATCGATGATCGACGGGGTTGTGAAGTTACACCGATTGAGATGGTTAGGACATGTGTTACGTATGCCTAGCTATTGCCTTCCTCGTCGGACAGTGTTAGCTGACATAGGGTCATGCTGGAAAAGAGCTAGCGGCGGTCAAACCAGAACATGGCTTTATCAGTCAATGAAATCCACAACAGTTAGTTTAAGCCAGACACACATGGAGGTGTATACTTCCTGGTTGTGGTCCTCGGGACGGTAAAAACCAATGGTTGGAAACTATTGGTGATATGGCTCAAAGTGATCGTTCTCAATGGCTAACGTAGATGCATCCACTCCTTGTGATTTATAATATCCCATGGAGCTCCATTCTTCTTCCGTATTACTATTCCTTTTGCTTCACCGACACTTCTTTTCGTTATCTCTCTCTTTTGAATATATCTTTACTGTCTTCTCTTGCTTTGTGTGCTACATGGAGGGAGTGTGGTAACTTGAACTGCTGTACATCTGTGCAAAGTTCTCCGTTGAAACCAGTTAGTCAGTCATCATCCTTATGTGCTTCTCATTGCTCTGCAGACACTTAGAGGCGCGAATCAAACGAACGATGATCGTAGTGCCCATTAGTACATGACCTTATACAAAGACTTGTCATCTAAAGTGACAATGACCAGCAGTTCCCGTTAGGGATGGCCACTATCCTTATTTCAATTTAATTTCATTATTGATGTACTAGTGGAATTGGTCCTAACTGACTTTAGAGACTTAATAACTGACTCGTAGGTGGAGACTCTGACAAAATCCAAAGTCATATGAGCACAACTGAACAGAACTCTTAATATCATTGAGATATGATTCTCTCCTGTCAAATGTAAGATGATGCTATGGGAAAGGATGCAATACACCAACTCCTAGCAAAAATACAGAGAAAGCGAATTGGTTGAGTGTGTTGATGTTTTCACTTCTTTGGAGGGGTTGCATCAACGCTAATGAACTGATTGCTGACGAAATCTTGTTTGGTGAGGACTGGATTCTATCAGTCAAGTTTGCAATGTGGCCACCGTGCCACTAGCTGGCTCGCCATCACGGTGCACTTTGAATTGTTGATATTACATGGTTGGGTGCAATCGGCCACAGGAAGCCGACCACCAACTAGATATTGTGCTAGTTCGCACTTACCAATCAGTCAGCAAGGCGTATATGCAACCTTGAAGGAACTCATGTCTCTTCTGAGATTTTAACCCGCGTCACCCAGTTCTGCAGTCAAAGACGTTACCATTGAGCTATTCAGGCTCGTGATAATAATATCAACAATTCTATCTCTAGTGCTGAGTAATATTGAGGTTAGGAGTAGAATTTTAGGTAAGAACGAGTATTCAATCGATGAGGTTGCGAAGCTACGTCGATTTTTTTTTTACCTAGGACATATGCAACACATGTCGAGCGACCGTCTTCTGAGTCGGGCAGTGTTAGCCGACATAGGATTTCGTTGGAAAAGAGTTACAAGTAGTCAGATCAAAATATGACATCATACTATGAATCCTTTAACAGTTGGTCTGTGCCATGTAAGGAGGTGTGGACTGTCTGCTTGAGGTCCTCGAGATTCTGAGAACTAATTAACTAGAGACGATTGGTGATATGGATAAAAAGTCATTCTGAACAGCGCAGAAGCAACCACTCTTTATAATCCACCCAAGCCTATTAAGTCCTCTTGTATTTCCCATGTAAACATTCCTTCCATACATTTCCTCTACTTATAGTTATTTTGATTCTCCTTTCCCTTTTCTACCTTTATGTGGTATATGGAGTGTGACGAGTTGAACTATTGTACTTTTGCACAACGTTTTCTCTTGACACCATTACAGATAAGACTTTATTTTTGATAAATCACACAGTGTTATACAGTTATACTAACAAGGCAAGAACAAAAGGGCTGGTATTCAAACCCACCAACTCAATTAGAAACAAGCTTTGTCGGTTAAAGGACCCTGCCAGTGGAGCGAATACAACAAAACAATTTAGTTTATCTAATATCCTGCTTCAGTGATTGTCAGGTCAAATACATCGGTCAAACTAGTAGAACAGGGACAGTCAGAATAGCCGAACATAAAAACCTAGCGAAATCTAAATTGGTTGAGAATAGTTCAGCTATAGCAATCACTACATGCAGTTACACACAACCTTACGATAGGATGGGATAGGATAAGATGATAGTTTTAAAATCCAATGTCACAGGGTGGAGGGAGAGATTGATAACAGAAGCTTTGTTTATCGAATCAACTGCAAATACGTGTCTGTAATAGGAACGATTTAGCACCTGTCCAGCCGGACATTTAGAAGATTCTACTAACCCTACGACGACAAATAGGAGAGAACAAAGAAAACTGTAAAACTCAAATTTCGAAGTTGTGTGATTATAATTGATGATATGATTATGAACAACGAAATGAAACGTCATCCCGTAAATAATAATACTGTTTCACTCTGTGTGTGATACATCTAATAAACAAACTAACATGGAATTACCTCTGACTCTAATTCAGTTAACAAGCTACGAAATATAATTCTGAATTTAATGCTCAGTAATACAGACAGTCATAAAGTAAAATAAAATGTGATTTACCTTGCTGTAAGTAGAATAACTTTTATAGGATTATTGACTATTGTAAAAAGGAAGAGAACTAGACAAGGGCCTAGTCCAACAAGTGCACAACCGATTCCTCCTAAATATGTCATCTGTACAATTCACGAGACATAGATCATTTGAACAGAAGCTGTAATGGAATAAAATACACTAAGAAAGACAGAGTTTATAAAAGAAATCTTATACACAAGACATTACTACTGAAAAACAGTTTGTAGGTCTTCCATATGATAAAAACATACGTCCCTTATTATAATTATTATTATTATTATATTTCTCAGGGTTCTGAGTGCAATATAGAACATCGACGGCACATCATACTACTTCCATCTCTGCTACAACCTTCACAGCTGGCTCCACGACTACCCATTAAACTTTCATTTCTCCTCAACCCTCAACCCATCGATTTTCATTTGGGTTACACTCAAGTGCTGTTTAGTGCATGATATCACTTAACAGACTCATCATTGTGCGTCTAATCGATCTCTATTTCTTTCCACAAATTTATAGGGCGATGGGGCTTTGGTTGGTCTGTTTCTTTAGCTTCTTGCCGCATGCTAAACCTTTCTGGTCTCATTTGATCTTCAGTACAGAGGCAGTGAAGACAGTTGTTGATGGAAATCCACAACTACCAGTTAGTAATGCTCTTTGTGACTTGCTCGAACAAGTCTCTGAACCATGTAGAAGCACATTCATGCCGTCTGTAGTTCAAACGACGCTGTATAGGTAGGTAGGTGGAAGAGTTAGCTTCCGCTAGATACATCTGTAAGCAGTCAAATACCTACAGGTGAGTAGAGAAAGCGAGTCAGTCAATAACTAAAAGCAGAACCATAGTCAAAATTATTTCAAGCACACTGAAGAGAAGGGGTTGAAAATCAGACTGGACAAATACCGTTTTAACTAATACAAATAATGGCTGTTTATGTAGTTGTAAAAGATGAATACATGATCAATAACCAACTACTTAAACAAACCACTTCAGTCAGTGAAAACACTACTAAGAATAATAAATTTGTGAAGCAGAACACCTGGGAAATAGGTGTAATAGTTTCTTAGTTTCGCTTAGTACTTACCTACCTACTCAAGAACTAAAGGCCTTCAAAACTTTAAAAGTAGGAAGAACATCGTCATTCTACCAACCGACAAAGGAAGAACAACAGTAGTCATGAACAGAGAATAATACACCAAGAAAGCTGGAGAACTACTCAAAACAAGGATGTATATCAACAACTCCCAACAAATCCCATCCGAACATTGGACAACCGCATCCAAAGGACCTGAAACAAGATCGTGCTGGCAGTGATGCAAAGGCCCGAAAACATAATTCTACCAAAGATCAAACCCAAGATTTGGATACGTTACATAACGATACATTTGTAATAATCACAAGAAACGAGTTAGATAAAACTCACAACTTAATAAACGTCTTCAACGACATCAAATTCACAAGAGAAGAGGAATCCGAGAAACAAATCCCATTACTGGATGTCTTAGTCAAACGAACAACCACGGGGGAATTAGAAACTCAAGTTTATAGAAAATCAACTCACACAGACCAAATACTCAATTACAACAGCAACAATCCAATAACACACAAAAGGAATTGCTTATAAACACTATTCAAGAGGGCAAGGACTCATTGCAGCACTCCCACCTTAGGGAAAATTGAAGAAAGATATCTCATGGACGTCTTCCAAAAGAATGGATATCCACGGAATTTCATCAAAAGACATATACCCCCAAGCCAACTTATCAAACCAAAAGCCCCCAAGGAAAGCACAAAGGAAATTGCCTCACCATATATGAAGGATATCTCAAAATCACTACAAGACTCTTCAAACGCTTAAACCAAAGTCACTTCACTCAATTCTATGTCAACCAAAAGACTCACTAACGAAAGAAGAAAAAACTAACATCATTTACAAAATAAATTGTAAAAACTGCGAAAAACACTACATTGGCTAAAATGGACGTCCCTTTCGTCTTCGTACCCACGAACATAAGCTAGCCGTGAAAAAACATGATATCCACTCCCTCATATCGTTACATATAGAAAACCACGGACATCAATTCAACTGGAACAACGTTCAAATATTAGACAGAAGAACCAACAAGAATGCTAGAGAATTTTTAGAAACTTGGCATTCCAGTGAATCATCAATCAATAGACACATAGAGATAGAAAAAATTTACTAACCGATAAGAAGAAAACCTCACACACAAAGGGTCAAAGTTCAAGTCAAAGAAACAGTCAGTTCCAATACAAGTAACCTAGAAGGTGTGAAAACACACATAAACAACCAATCACGTCCAAAGTCACCAGGAGAGATGATTAATAAACTCGTGTAGAAATCTAGAAGCTTACTTCAAATTGAATTATGCGGTGAATATGTCGCTTAGTAGGGCAATGAAAGCTTCGCAACTCAGAGTACACAACCACATCAAAATTATCCACCTGAGCTACAAATCTTCTCTATCATAACTACCTATTTTATAGTTGCCTCATAAATGACCTGATATGAAAGAGGGTGGATAAATTACGGTCCTTCTCTTATATTGCTCCCATATGGCCAGGCGTGCATAGCCTCTCCCAGGAAAGTCCTATTAACTGCCTTCACACGACGGTGTTCCCCTCACCAGAGTGAAAGGGCGAATGCGACCCGTTGGTGCTTAAAACTTGACTAGTAGACACGTAGGTCTACCCAGGGAAGCTGGAAAATTCTGATTGCAAACCTATGGTGTAAGCACTGAATGCCATACGAACTTGTTTTGGTCGCCGGGAACCACAGGAATGTAGCTCCTGGTGCTTTCCACTGTCTTGTTGAACAGACATTAGGGAACGCAGTGTAGCTCATTAAGCTCAAACCACCTGATTCACTCTGGGCATCCAAGCACTATCACAGCCCTCGCACTAATTACGCAGATTTATGTGGCGCATTTCCGGGTTACCCAAATGCATCAAGTTTTTGTTTTAATAACGATGATAATACTATATTTGCCATGATTCCACAGTTGATGGTAATGCAATGAAAGCTCTACAGTTTATGTCGTGATTAGCACTGTGTCAAGACACTAGAATTGAAAAACAAATGTGCTGTAGTCTATCAGCTTAAAAACTTAATGAATTGTTAATCAAGAATTTCTGATAGTGTCACTAACTGGTTACTGCAAAATTATTATTATTATTAAAATTATTATTATAGCCTAATTTCGACCGGAACAAGCTGGATTCAAGAGAAACAATTCATGTATTGATCAAATCGCCACTCTACGGATCATCATTGAACAAAGCTTCGAATGGCAGTCACCTCTCCATCTCAACTTCATCGACTTTGAAAAGGCCTTCGACAGCATCGGTCGAGAGGCGATTTGGTAACTACTTCACTGCTACGGGGTGCCACCGACAATCATACATCTCATCCAACAGTTGTACGACAGTACTGCATTCCAAGTAATCCACAACGGGAAACTTACGGAAACCTTTGAAGTGAGGACGGGAGTGAGGCAAGGCTGTCTACTATCACCAATGATCTTCCTGATTGCAGTAGATTGGATAATGCGACAGACAACGGCAACCAACGAGGGAAGGGGCATAAAATGGACTCACACAAAAGACTTGGAGAATCTGGACTTCGCCGATGATATGTGTACGATTTCCAAAAAACTTGAAGATACGCAAGAGAAAAGTAACAAGTTGGCAGAAGAAGCATCGAAGATGGGACTTCAGATGAACATAGAGAAAACAGAGGTACGTGATGAAGATTCCTGGACAACAACAACAGCAACAACAACAAAAACAGACAACAATCAGCATAAATGGGAGGAACCTGAAAGAAACAACCTCCTTCACCTACCTACCTACCTGGGAAGCATCGTTTCAACTACAGGCGAACGGAACTGACGAGGATATCAAAGCCAGAATCGGAAAAGCAAGACAAGCTTTCATTATTCTCAAGTCTTCGTGGAGGTCAACAGCACTCAGCATCAAAAATAAGATTCGGATTTTCAACTCTAATGTAAAGTCAGTGCTACTATACGGATCAGAGACTTGGCCAGCGCGTCATAAAGAGCATCTCAAACAAACTTCGGACCTACATTAACAGTTGTTTTCGCTCAACACTACTCAAGATCAGATGACCAGTCAGAAAAGATCAGCAACAGGGATCTCTGGCGATGAGGGAACCAACCAGGAACCGGTTGTGAAACAAATAGGGAGGAGGAAATGGAGATGGATTGGCCATACTCTGAGGAAACCATCAAGTAACATCACTAGAAAAGCCCTCGAGTGGAACCGAAAGGGAGGCGGCGAGTTGGTCGTTCAAGGGTGACTTGGAGGAGGTCATGCGAAGAGGAGATGAAAGCATGTGAACAGACCTGGAGCGGGGTGAAAAATGTTGTCAGAAAACAGAAGGCAATGGAGGTGCGCAGCTGAAGCCCTATGTTCCTCTAGGAACTAAAGGATACAATAATAATAATAAACTAATAACAACTACAAACACAAACGGAACAAAACTCTAATGTAAAGAAGGCTGGGTTTGTTAATTCTTGCATTTTAACTTTTTTCTTCTTCTCCAGTGCTTTCCCTTCAATCTTTTCAAGACTTTTTAAACAAGAATTTTTTAAGACACGAAGGGCATTAAGAGCTGTCAGTACGGTGAGTTGTGTGCTCATTAACCAACTCGTAAATGTTGTTATAGACAGACGCTTGAACTGATACCAAGTACTGACAAAAGTCATCCAGCTGAAATTCCAGTATCCTCTTTATTTTCAACTTATTTACAGCTCTCCACTGGCATCTCATCCGGTAGGACCAGAAGCAACTATGAAAGCCTTTATGCTCACACGATTAAATATGAAAACTCAGTGGTGCTTTATGTGGCAACGAATTCCAACTTACTGTAAATAAGTAAATAGATGGCGCTTTCATTCTCCTAATCATTATTATACATCGTCACTAATTCTGTAAATTTACAATTTATTCTTGCATTTATATATCACTGTGATTGTTACTGGGTATCATTAGGCTACGTAGTCTTTCCTTCTTTCCTACCTAGTGTGAAGAGGACAACAGATGCAGTATGGTACACGTGTACATTGAGAAATCCAGTGTGTTAAGTATACTAACACTTTATTTTTAAACGTTTGAAGAAAAGCCATTAATACTATTTCATCAAAACAACGAACACGTTTTTCATTCAGTATTCATTAACACCATACCTGGAGGATACCTTCAGAGTGCTGAGGCTTATCTGCTAATATGACATATGCTATTTAAGAAATAACCATTTTCTTGTTAATTTAACAACTGACTGAACATTATTATTGTGAATTATTTTTCCTCGAATTATTTTCAAGTCCTACTTCGAAATGGTGGTTTCAACGCAATACGCTAGCACAACAACACACGACATACCTACAGTCATTTGCTTTTTAAATGTATCGTTTATTTTGAATTCCCGGCAATATGTGTCGCATCAGTAGCCAATACATTTTGATAGCAAAATCCGAATTGATTTCACTGACCTCGATTCTTGAAAGTTAGGTAAGAGTTGTCAGTTTAAAGGAATGAGGGCGATAGTAAAAAATAGACGCCAAAGTCAAATGTTTTTAAGTCTACCAGTTATATTCATCCGGGTGAAAAGTGGCAATTTCTTTTAAAATAAGTGTACTTAGATGACACATATGTGGTGAAACTCAGTTATGCAGTGTATATATTTCTAAAGCACTGTTAAAACTGGTCCCAGTTTCTCATAGGAGTGTCTGTAGGCATACCACACCAACATCGATACAAAAATCTAAGTGGCCGCATATCATATCGGGAGCCATTTACTATCACAAAACGCTTTTCTAGATGGACCCAGAATCCTTCAATAGAATTTGCTGGAGTTCCAATCATAGGATTTACTAATTCATAAGTATGATCGAATCTATGATAAACATAGTGTAATGATGATGGTTGAGGATAACCTTTCCACTTGAGTGTATGAATGGCAGTTCCTAGTCGTTGTATTATTGGTACTAAAACATCTGGGTGACACTTGAAAGGAAAATTATCAACAACATCTATGTGCAAAACCTAGCCATCTTATTGGTTGATTCAAAACCATTTGATTTTGGTGACTATTCTTTACTGTTTCCTTGATGGGCTTACTATAGGCATTAATTTCTTGCCGATTGCTCTTTATTCTGAGGAATAGTGAAGGACATCTGGTGTGATTCTAGCACTGTACCTGATCTTCACCTTTATGTAGCTGGTTTGTTTGATTTATTCCGGGGATGAGAGACACATGCGTCACCGAGCAGGTGAGCAGGCTGTTCAAATATTCATGAGGAGCAGAATATAATAGGGCAAAAGTAGAAACGAGAATATTGAAAAATATTATGAAACTGTTTTAGGAAGGAAACGATGGTGTGAATCGGCAGAAATAAAGGTCAAACTTTAAAACAAAGTGGTGATGAGCTGGCAAATGAATGGAGTGCCAGTATATTTCCTCAACCCTTATTGCTGCAATTAATATATGCAGTTCTAAGTACTTTCCCTGGTCGTCAATCCAAATATACATTTGTCGAATTACAGGGCGGTCGACATATAAAATATCCACGATTTCCATAAAAGGGCCCCTAACAGAAGATGAATTTAATGATGTCCGTATTCGTTTCATTTGATGGAAAACTTCGATGGTCTCCAGCAGGAAAAAATTGATAACTTTAGCAGTACGACGTCATGCACCCGGTGGTTCTGCTTAGTGATGTCTTTTGTTTATCTTCGATGGGTTTTTCTCAAAACATATCCGTCTTCTAACAAAGCTGGCTGCCTATGACGAGCGTATATGATGCTTAATAAAAGGTTAGGGATCGGATACCTCTCACTACGAATATTAACGACGAGTCAGCCTGTGGGAAAGCAGTGCTACCTGATCAGTATATATGCTTGTGGTCACTGCGGTGAATCGCACCATTCTGCAGGAACAGCACTATGCAATTTGACGGCTCCAGATATTTCTGATATTTATGAGGGCTTTAAACATACCATTCGCTCAGCCTGTTGTTGAGATGCGACCACGTGGGCTCTGCACAGAATTATGGGGCATCTTATAAATTAACTTGCTATCAATTGCCGGATCTTTAAATACCACTTCAAAATGTCTTATCTCATTCATTTTCTGATAACGTCTTTACTTGATCCTCATTATACTCCATTAAATTCAGCATTTTATAGCTCTCTATGAATTCGAATCGACTCATTCTATTCCTATTCTCTGTAGGGTACGGTTATGCGTCAAATAGACAAGAAGGTATGAAATAAAAACACCATGATAGAATGACATATATGGGTAGCACTGTACGTTGCAAATGAACGTTGTCAGTCTAGGGATTAATTAGTTTCCTTTGTATTTCCATTATAGATGCATTTATTAATGATATATTGCATTTACTTATTTCATTACACTTTATTAATTCACCCTGGCACTTTAACTTTTCTAGAACAGCTTCCGATCCCTTGTAAACGTTGCATTTACCTCAACATTGGTTGGTTATCGTATGCCTACAACCACGGGATGAGAACGAAACGAAGTCGACTTTCCCGCTCAACCTGGAGGACAACTGTAAAATTCAATGGCTATACGGCCTGGTTCAGACAATGAGTGTATTCATGTATACATATATATATATATCAAATATTTAGCTGTTGAAACATTATCAACTTATAGACAATCTACGATTTGATGTTATAACATACTTGATCGTTCCTGTAAAAATGGCATGCATTTTCATGTAAAATTTATATGTTAGTATGAAATATACATTATTATTATTGTGTAAACCATTAGGAAGCTTAACTATTCTGACAGATGCTTCGACATGAATGAACCTATGTCAGACACTGTCACTACATGATCTAGTTGACTAGCGCGCACACATTGCATGAAGATGCATTGCCAAAAAGACGTCTCTTCCTGGAAACTTATCTGAGCCATCTATTATAACTAACTACTGTCTGTTAACTACACTGTGAGTTTTAAGTATTAACGGTTTCTATTTTACTGTTATGCTATTATAACATCGTGTAGTCGAATTCTTCTGAGCCATCTATTATAATCTTAAACCTGGAAAAACACCAGGATCAGATGTAATTGCAGCAGAATTTTTGAAAATAGACCCAGAGTCAACTGCGGACTTGATGACGCCACTGCTGGAGAAGGTGTGGAAAGGGGGGAAGTACACGAGGATTGGAAGAACGGATACTTATTCAAACTTCCAAAGAAAGGATACTTAAGTCAATGTAAAACTGGTGTGGAATTATGCTTCTGCCCATTCCAAGCAAGATACGAAGTCGCATCATCCTGGAGAGAATCAAACAAGCCGTAGATGAAAAACTTCGACCGGTACAGGCCGGATTCAGGAGAAACAATTCATGTATTGATCAAATCGCCACTCTACGGATCATCATTGAACAAAGCTTGGAATGGCAGTCACCTCTCCATCTCAACTTCATCGACTTTGAAAAGCCTGTCAATCACGTCTCATAAACCGTTAATGCCCAGCTCTCGCTACGCTCGGGCCCACGCTGTTCCTTGAAGTTTTCAGAAACGCTTAGTTATAACGGACGAAAAAACCAAAACACCGATCTGCCGCTTTAGATTTCTTTATTGTTACACCAACATATAAAAATTATAACTGAACTAAGGTCTGTGAACAAATATTACAATAATAAATCATAAGGTTACTTCTGACGATGTTTTACTGCCTTCTTTCTGAACAGCGACCGATGAGACGATGACTGTCGTATTGATGCCTCCGCGAAAATTGGGGAAGTTGATTTTGAGCAAACAACCAAGAATTGATCGTTCAATCTTCAACTCCATTGACACTCCCCGGCAAAAAGGGGATCCAACCCTTTTTTCCTTCACGACCAATGCACGTTGACTTGGATGCCATTGCGAGAACCTGGGTCACACGGACAGAGCTGAAATGGAAAACAAACAGAAAAGCCAACACACCACAAGCATACCCACAGCACAATCTCACACATCAATGACGACCTGCGCTCTCCAGACAGAGACATCCTCTTGACATCTTGCAACACAATCGCCACTTGCTAGAATGACTCTTGCAGAATGCAACGTGACCATAGCAGCACCTCACGATACTCTACGCACATCCTCTTATCTACTCACTACCAATTACCACTGAAATCGCTTGTCACTCATTCTGCCTCAGTTCTAGTAGCGGTGACGCATGCGAGCCTCAGTCGTTTACACTCTTTCTCCCCGGCGTGTCGGACCGCAGCTAACAATTATCTCCGTGTGCATTTCATTCTCAGCAATAGCCTAGCCTCCCCGGCGTATACGACCCATCTGCTGTCCTTAACATCAATCAATTCATTCACGGATGTAGAAGACTCGAAACAACTTCAGAAGTAATCACGACGAAAATTTTAACAAAATTATGCAATAACAACAAGGTACGAAAACAACGAGTAAACACAATGAATCCAAAAACACCAATTGATATGACACACCACACATATATACAAACAGTACACACAAACTCGCGGATCATGTCTTGATGGAATTCCCTTGAAGAATTGTAGCACTTACACCAGTACGCCTACAAACCTTCACAGGTTGACGATTGTAAGTTGTGGAATTTTTTTTTTTTTTTTTTTTTTTTTTTTTTTTTTTTTTTTTTTTTTTTTTTTTTTTTTTTTTTTTTTTTTTTTTTTTTTTTTTTTTTTTTTTTTTTTTTTTTTTTTTTTTTTTTTTTTTTTTTTTTTTTTTTTTTTTTTTTTTTTTTTTTTTTTTTTTTTTTTTTTTTTTTTTTTTTTTTTTTTTGTCCGGACACAAACAGAATTACCAACAGCTAGATGACAGATGATATCAATTCAGTATATACAATATGAACATATGTACAAAATCACACACCGAGCACATTGGACTGCTCATTGATGCGCTACCCTTTGAAGAATTGTAGGACTTACAGCAGTACGCCTACAACCCTTCTCAGGTTGACGCTCTAGGTTGGAAAATCATCTAGTGTTTCATCCTCCGACTCTCTACTCTCAGCACCTTCCAGGAGACACAGTTTTCTGATATCTCGCACCAACATGCCACAACTAGTTCTCACCTCAACCGTCCTCACCAATCCATCACCACTACAGATCAGCCTTACTACCACTCCCAAAGGCCACCTACCTGTGGCACATTTATCTGCTACTAATACTATGTCACCAACCTTTAAGTTTCGGCACAACTTTTTCCACTTGTCCCTGGTTTGCAGTGTTAGAACATACTCCTTTAACCATCTTTTCCAAAATATATCTTTCATGTGCCTGGCTTGTTTCCATCTTTTAATCGTAGGTATTCCTTCCCCGCTTGCGTCCTCTATGCCAGGGTTGCCTCTCAATAACAATAATTTATTTGGGGTTAACACATCAAAATCCTTGACGTCGTCCCTCACAGGTGATAACGGCCGGTCATTTAATATTCGTTCAGCTTCACAAAAAAATGTCTCCAGCGTTTCGTCATTCAAACTCTGGTTTTTAATTATGGAGCTTAAAATACGCTTGATAATTCCTATAAGTCTTTCCCATAGCCCACCTCTATG